ACACTTTGTGGAAACGTCGTCTTTCACGATAAAAAATTTCAACAAATTCGTAGACATTGCAAAAACATTTAGGACGAATCGTTTGTGCACCAAAGATGTGACGTCTTTCACGATAAAAATTTCAACAAAATTTGTAGACATTGCAAAAACATTTAGGACGAATCGTTTGTGCACCAAAGATGTCACAGTACAAGGAATTGTAATGAGGAAAGGATGTGTCTTCACAGTACCCATAAGAGCAATTCATTACTGCAAGGATTTCTATCCAGCTCCAACTGTGTTTGACCCGGACAGGTTCTCAAATTATTCATTTCATTTTCAAACTAGCACCATATTAATTAACGCTGAGTGTTCTCACGGGCGCGTCCCAAACGAAGTGCGGGCAAGGTAACCTTGACCATTGAATCGTCGTTCTTATAGGGGTTCCTTCTCAAGGAAGTGATGAAGGGTAGGGATGCACGAATGAGGAGCCTTCAGTGGGCCGAGTGTACCCACAAATGGTATTATAGTGGAACCCGCCATCATGACTACTGTAGTTGCGACGGTCGAAGGAGGCTTGGATTACGGTAGTAATAAAAGTTGCAGGCTTATTGGATGAAATCTGTTTGAACTGACTGCAACAAACACTTACATCGTAGCATTCAGTGGAGTGTCGTGTCAAGGGGCATGAAACAGGCCCTTCTTCTTCTTCTTCTCCCTAGCGTTAGTCCCGCGCCGTCGCAGGGTCCGCTGTTCTTGTTAGACGTCGCCACTTGTTCCGATCCACTGCATCTTCTGCCGTGGCTTTCACTTCAGTGAGGTCCTTCTTGATGACGTCCCATCTTTTCTTTGGGGCTCCTCGTGGTCGCTTGCCCTCTACTTCGAATTCCAATGCCTTCCTTATTGGGTGGTCTTCAGGCCTCCCATACCATCGCAGTCGCTGCTCTCGTGCCTTCAGCTGGATCGGAGCCGTCTGTGTGACCGCTCTGACGTCCTCGTTTCTGACTCTGTCGAGTCGTGTCCAGCCGCAGGCCCATCTCAGCATCCTCATTTCAGCTGAGTGGAGCTGCCTTTCATGGTTCTTGCAGATGGGCCAGCACTCACTGCCGTAGAGCATTGTAGGCCTTACCATCGCCCTTGAGCGTTCTCGAGCACCGTCGGTCGCACAGGATGCCAGTGGACTCCCTCCATTTCATCCAGGCTGCGTTGATTCGGGCTTCACCGCCTGGTCCACGCTGCCATCAGCTGCTAGGTCGCTCCCCAGGTACTGGAAGTCCTCGACCCTTTCGATGCTCTCGCCATGGCAGTCTACGATGGGTTCGTTACACTCTTCGGAGCTCAGGAACTTGGTCTTCTTTACGTTCAGCCGGAGTCCATTCTCAGCGAGCACATCCTGCCACCGCTGCACCTTGTCCTGGAGTTCTTCCCTGCTGTCCGCTATCAGGGCGATGTCGTCAGCGTAGAGGATGGTTTTCAGTGGTCCCTCCATGAGTTCTTTTGCCATGACATCTAGAGTCAGGAGGAAGAGGAACGGGCTGAGGGCTGATCCTTGGTGTACCCCAACCGTAATGTTTACCTCCTTTGTCAAGCCGTGAGGGGTGCGTACAGCTGCTTTAGCCCCATCGTACATGTCCTTCACTATGGAGATGAGGTGTTCCGGAACGTTACGTTCTCTGAGCGCTCTCCAGAGTACAGGCCGAGGCAGGCGGTCGAATGCCTTCTCAAGGTCCAGGAAGGCTAGGTAGCAGGGTCGCCGCTTCTCTCGGTACTTCTCCATCAGCTGTCTGGCGATGAAGATGGCATCGGTGGTGGACCTCTCGGGCATGAAGCCGAACTGTTCCTGCGAGATAGGGACAAGTTCCCTCAGCCTAGTGTTGACCAGGCGCTCGTACAGCTTCATGGTATGGGGAGTCAACTTGATGCCGCGGTAGTTGGAGCACTCCGTCGCGTCCCCTTTCTTGAAGATGGGGACGATTGTGCTGCTCCTTTCATCCATCCGCATCCTTCCTTCCAGCCGTTACGTTGTTTGGGAAGTCTGTTAGCCAACTCACCCCAAGCTCTCCCAGGGCCTTCCATGCCTCTATCGGTACCCGTATAGAGAATCCTCAACACAGAGAATCCTCTATGAACCTCACCGCACCGACCGGTGTTATTCTGAGAAGACTATGATCAACAACAAATACAGTGATAAA